TTTGAAGTTGCTTGAAATTTAGAAGTTTAAATATCATGATATAATTAAATTATATCTTGTTATACCATTGTCCTATTTGAGATTTTAGTGTATATATGTGGATACCATGATATGTTTTATAATATGTTTTAATTAGGGACCATTTGGTTGAGGTATGAAGCTTAGGGAAATTAATTTGGTTATTTGATAAATTTTTGTTTCTATTCCATTAATGATTTGATCATGTATTTGACAATGGTTGTATGTTTAAAGCATGATTTTTGACTTGTAATAGATTCATGAATTTGTGATTTCAATATTAGATTATATTGCCATAGTGTGTAACGAATCGCACACTAAAGATTCGACATGTGATGTTATATAGCGCGTAACGAATCGCACTCTGAAGATTCGACATATGTCATCCTATAGTAGTTGTGGATTTAGAGCATGTAATGTGTGGTTACAAACTACTTGTGCGTGGGATGTGGTTTCGTAAATATATAAGTTGTTAACTTATTTATTTTGGAGTCACTTGGGACATGGTTACTATGATATGGCTAAAGTTCAGCTTTAGTGCGGGAGGTATGAGTTCACCCTAATTGAGATAGTGTGCACTTAGGGTGGTTTTCCCTGCGGGTTAGTGCCCGGAACAACCATTGATCTCGGCAGAATTCCGAGTCTAGATGTCCAAGTCTTCCATTATTTATTTTCGCATTCAATTCTAAGTTAGCAATCATGTTTATATTGTGACTTATGGTTTTAGTTATCAGTGATTTTGATGTTGTTAAGTACGTCCTTGCTATATGATCTTTGTAGATTTTGATTTTTATGATTTTAATAAATCATTTTAATGTTATTAAGTACATTCATGTTCATGGTTTTTAATAAATCATAGTGAGCTTTTAATGTTGTTAAGTACATTCTTGTTTTATGATTTTAATGAATCATTATAAGCTTTTGATGTTGTCAAGTACATTCATGTTGTGTTGTTCAAATGTAAAGTAGGAATGATCCAATAGATTCATTTGGAACATAGACGTTAGGTGGCATGATCACTTATGTCGTTTTCGTTCTTTAGATTTCAAATTGATGACTTTGAGATTCTATGTTAGTTGCTTTGTGTAAGCATGCTCCTATGTTGTTGCTTTGTGTAAGCATGACCCTATGTTGCTAAAATTGCATGAATGAGGTGATTAATGCTAGAAATGATCTTAGGTAGCTAGGATGCTCCTTGAGTCTCACCTTTGACATAGACGTTAGGTGGAATGAACCATAATAATCAATCATGCAAACTTGTAAAACGTAGGTCGATGCATGCTCATTTCCTAAGAGTAGCTTTATGTTACTCACCCCTACAATACTGGGGCATATTTCAGGTACAGGATTCAAGGTTAGAGATTCTCACCATGCTTGGATGATTTGGGAACTTGAAGGGTTCAATTCTTGTGAAGGTTGGCTTGAAAAGCCATTTGTAACCTTATTTGTCAAATGTGTATATTTGCTTCTAGACTTGTAATGTGTGCCTAAGCACACTTTTTGATTCTCATTTTATGTATATGACATGAGGCCAATGGCCAAACTCCTTTTGAAATTACATTTATGTCAAGGATGTTCATTTTTGCCTTCGATGAGAACATATGGAAAACCATGCGTTTTAGTATGCTATTTTGCACCGGAGCATGCATTGTGTATGAACTTCTTCCATTAGCATTCATTTAACATGCATGAAGTGTGACTAAAGGCCAAACGGCATTTCGAAATCATTTCATGATTTTAGGTTTCAAGTTTTCATTCTAAACTTCATTTTTTGGCATTTTGGCCGTCGGGGGGTCATATTTTGCTTCGGCCATATTTTTGAGTCACGGACCATTGTAGCACATCTTATTAGGTAAGTTACGTTTGCGTGCATGGTCATTTGTGGGCAAAGCTTCTTCTTTGGTGAAATGAGCCTCCTACGGACTCATTTTACACTTTTGTTGCATATTCTGACCTAAGTGTATTTTTGGAATTTTTTTGGGAAATAAATTCCGTTCTTCACATGGTCACTTAGAAAATGTGATTTTAGGGGGGGTTTCTTTTCTATATTTTTCCAGAAAATTTCATCTTGGCATCGGAAATCACATCCGAAGTTCAATTCTCAGTTTTTAAATTTAACAGCTTTTTGGACCCTCTGGACCAGTTTTCTTGGGAGGGCATTTTGGGCATTTCACTTTGCGTTTTTTTGATTTTCCATGATAGTCATGTAGAAAACTAGATTTTGAGGGGGGTTTCTTCTTTGAGTTTTTCCAGAAAATGTCATCTTGGCCCTCAAATTTCCATTTGTCCCGGAAAAACCCCTGCTGCCAGGTTTTTGAGCTGCCCATTCTGCCTCCTTCACATATAAACAGTTACGAGGGGTTTCGTAACCCGTTACATGTGCATGGGTAGTGTTTTTCTCGTGATTTTTGGCCTCCTAACTGGTTAGGAAGATCTCCTAACCGGTTAGATGATCTAGGGTTTGCACTTTTTGACTGTTTTGCCCCTTCTTCTTCCGTAAGCCATATCTTCTTCATTCGGACTCCGAATCAAGTGATTCTTGGGTCTAAATTCATTAATTTTTTGTTTTCTTTCCAATGGTGTGCTCAGTGGCACCCACTTTTAAGCTGGAAATGACAATTTTGCCACTAGGTTCAATCTTGTTGATTTTTGAAACGTTGCTTCCCCATTTAATTCCTTTGGGTTCCGTAACCTCGTTGAGGGTCATAATGGTGTCTTAGAGCCATTATGTATCTCTAGAGGCCATTGTTTTGTCTTTTGCTTCCGCATTTTGGATCCGTTATCGGGTCATCTTTTGGTTCATCACTGATGGACCGGGTTGAAAAACTTGGGCCGTCACACAAATCTTCTTGTTGTTGTGCATTATTGAAGTTTCCCATTTGTAAGTTATCCAACAACTCAAATACATTATCTACATTTCCATCTTCATCATGGGTATGGGTACTTTCCCCATTAACATTAGCATCAATATTAACATTATTGCTGGTTTGAGGAACCTCCCCATGATATATCCAATTGGTATACCCCTTGTTCATCCCATTACTCAAGAGATGTTGCTTAACCTGTTTAATTTCAAGAAATTCCTTGTTTTTGTAACGACGACATGGACATCGGGTAATACCGCCTGTCTGTACATGACGACTAGCCATCTTAATGAAGTTTTCTATGCCATCAAAATAGATTCGACTGCCCCTAGTGTGATGATGAATCCAAGACTTAGCCATGTAACTGTTATTTTACATAAAATAAATTTAAAAAAGTTAGAATATCAATTATAAACAAGTCATTTGATGCCTATGTTGAATATTTCATAACTCTTTAAGAATGAAAATCAATCATATTATAAGGGAAAACAATAAAGAAATCCATTAAATAAAAGTGAAAGCAAGGTCATTGTAATGTGTTGAGAAGTAGCTAGCTAAGAATAATGTCTATTGACTTTGATTTGAAGCCCCTTCTTTTATTTTCAATCACAGAGGTTGCATGAGGAAAATATGTAGCTGTTTTTATCAGTAACAATCAATTCATTGATATCCTCATCTTTTTATTATATATATATATTTCTCTTTTTTCTTCCGACAGGAAGGTATTGATCCACTATATCATAAAGTGAGGCACACTACTTTTTGATATCATGCTTCTCTTTCAAGGCTTTTATACTTTCAACTAGTTCTGGTGTGTCTCTGGATAGTAAAGGGTCAGGAAGGACCATATTATTTAGCTTTAAAAGCATAAAAATAAAAATAAAATAAAAGTGGCAAGAAACTGATGTCTTTAAATTGATTGTTTGAAATGGTATTTCAAGAATTCATTAATATATATTGTATATTCAGTTCAATTTTCTTTTTAACAAAACAAGTTTGCTTTATAATTTTCAGGATTACAATATTGCTTCGTTAATCAATTTATGCATGGTATCTCATAATTATTATATATGGAACAATGTGAGTGTGAGTTGCCAGTTAGCTAGATTGCTTAAATAGTTAACAGAATTAAACTCCATAGAAAGAATCATTATGGTTTACTTTCTCATGTTCAAAGGAAAACTTTTTTTAATGAAATTTAATATATTTTTGTATATTATTGGATCGCCAAACTCTTCTCGATCAATAATGTAAATATATTACAGTACCCTACATAGAGAAGTAGTATCCATGCATTAATAACACAACACATTGGAAACATTAGATATAAAGACAATATTCGAACTTCTAATTGAACCATATAAATTTATTACCAACATAACCAGCTCATGCACACATATTTGACACATTTTAAAAAAGTCACAAATGAATAAAATGTGTCATGAACAGCCTTTTCAAAATTGTTTCATCAATCGATCCCGCCTCCAGTGAATTATATTTTCAAAAATTGTATAATCAAATTTAATTTTCATTCCACTCCCTTTGTGGAGAAAGAATTTTCATTTATCTAACAAATTTTGGTAAATGAGAGAACAAAGTGATGAGGCTGTCTCTAGATAAATTAAACAAAATATATGCAGGGCCAATTACTTGTAAAGAAAAATGGTCTTTTAAAAAAAATATCTGCAAAACAAAATATATGTACTTGATCCATAGGCTCTCTCTTTTTTTGGTAGGGAGGGGGGAAGTGGTAAAATATCATTAAAAGGTGCCAAAATAAGGGTACAACCCATATAAACAGGAGGTACACAAGAAGGAGAATAGAATAATATGCATAATCACGATAGATCCATGACGGAGAGCATTAGAACTAAATATCTAGGTAATATAAACTTATAGAGCATTAAAATCCAGAAATTGTAAATACACAAATAAAATAAAACATAATAAAAGCATTAAAATCCAAAAATTGATAAATAAACAAATAAAACAAAACATAATAAGAGCATTAAAACTAAATATCTAGGTAATATACACTTATAGAGCATTAAAATCCAAAAATTGATAAATAAACAAATAAAATAAAACATAATAAAAGGAGTAAGAAATATATCGTACCTAAAATTCTGATCAAACTCAATCTTGGGTGAACAGCTAGTGGATATGACTTGCAATAATTATATAATGGCACCAATTATCAGTTCTGAACAGGATCTTGTGCAGGTTATATTCCATGTTTTGGAAGCGAACTAATACAACACCACCATGGAAAAAGTTAGCTTACAACTTTCAAATGGGACACTGGCTAAATTATTAGTATCAAAACTTCACTAACAAGTCAACTACAAGGCTTATTCTGGTTAATGAAGGGTCGCTTTCTAGAGCATTCATAAAATTTCCTTCCTTTCATTAACAAAGGGATTGTAAGGGCCTATTTGATTTATTTTTTAAGTCACTTCTCTTAAATTTTTTCCTAATAAAAATAAAAACTATACAATCACTTTAGTATTTTCGACTGCAACCAGAAACTGAAAGACAGGATATAGAGAATATCATTCGGATGTAATTGCAATGCTGATATTTTTAAAACTTGACTTCTTGAACAATTCTCAAGATTGCCTAAGGTTATGGCTTTAAAATGGAAAAGAAAATATGATTTATGTAACCAAACCTAAATAGTTGAAATAGACTTTGTTGAGTCGAGTATCATAATTCTACACCAAATCATCCAAACACCAAAATAACAATAAATCAAAATGAAGCGCTAAATAGTTGTAGTGAAAATATATATATATATATATCAATTCTGATCAAACTCATTCTTGAAATCTATATGAAACAATGATGAAACCACAAAATTATGTGTCAGAGGTGGAGGAGACCTTGAATAACAATAAGATATAAAAAAAGATTTATATAACCATAATAGGAGGCTATATTAAAATTCTTTTTGGACATAAATGAATTACATTTATAGGGCAAGGCCGACCATTGGCCAATGATCTTTGTATGGACATTCGAATGGAATCTTGCAGCAAAACTCTCGTTCCATAATGCGAGAGAGGTGGTGAGCCCCATCGTTTCCCTCTCACATTCAAAATTTTGAATGTGTATCATTATTCTTTAATATTTCTAGTAACTAGAACTTTAACCTAAAAATTTTAGAATCACTACCATCAATTCCATCAAAGAATCAAGAATATAAAAAGAAAACTAACCATTCTCAAATTAACAAAAATTGTAACAATCAACAATTCAGTTCCAACAGGAATTGTCCTCCAGGAGACCCCAACCCAATTTTTATACAAATCACTCCCTGAAGTCAAAATCCCTACAAAATAGCCCTTTATAACACCCCCATGGTTTTGACGTGAGGCATGAATGATCAAGAATAAAGAATACAAAGGTCATAATGATGACTAACAACAATAAAGCTTATGATGAATATCAACTGAAGCCAATTAAGAGACCTCAGAATTGTAGGAGGGGAAAAATAATTTTTAAAAATTAAAATTTCAACGAAACGATGATTCCTCAAAAAAAAAAAAAACCTAAACTCATACCTAAATCAACCTCAAAAATAAATAAATAAATAAATAAATAGTATAGATAAAGAAGCAATCTAAGCTAGTTAATTGAGATACAAAGAAGAGAATGAAACATACCTCTCGGCAAGTAGATAGCCGCCAATAAAAGAAGAAGCAAAAGGTTGAGTGATTAAATCTATTGTATAATAATGAATGAGTAAAGAAATAACATAATAAGAATGAAAGTAGTACACAAATTCTTTATGTGTCTGTGAATTGATGAATGAATTGCATATATATATATATATATATACATATATATATATATATATATATAAAGGATATATATACATATATATTTGTATGTATATCAGGAATAAATTAATAAAGATAAAAAGTTCAAACAACCTGTACGATTTCAGATTTCCCATAGTGATTCAGACTCAGACGACAAGCCTTTTCCAGATTTGTAATTTACCCCTTCAATAGACCTTTTGCAATTTCGAAACCCTAGAAAAAAAACTAAGGTGAGGATCATGAAAAATGGCAAACAGGAAAAGTACGAATTAACTTTTGCTTGCCTCTATTGAGATTAGGAGGTTAGCTTGGCTGGAAACAGAAGAAACCTTCCAAAGGTTGCTTTTAGGTCGTAGAGCAGGGCGACGTTGAGAAGAACAGAAGAGGTGAAGAACTGATCGAAGAGCTTTGTGAGTTGTGAAGGTGGAAGAGGATTGCAAATGATACTAATGTTTTTTAGATTAAAACGACATAGTGTGATGGGCTTCCCTATGTTATAAAATAAAATAATTTTATAATATTTCATTTTAACGCCAAACAAAATAAAAATGAAGCGCTAAAGTTTAGCGCTATTTTTTTGTGGCATTGGGGACGGTCTTCAATAGACTGTGCCAAAAAAAAAAAAAAAAACTTTTTAGGGACAGTTTTTAGGGATTTGGTGACATATCAGATTGACTGTCCCTAAAAGGCTAGTATTAAGGACAGTAAAATTTGCCCGTCTCTAATAATAGGATCTTTAGGGACAGGTTTTAAAGCGTTACTAAAAGACTGTCCCTAATAGCCTAATTTCTTGTAGTGCTCCTAGACTTTGATGTTTTGTATTTTGAGGGGATTTGTGTTGTAACTCTTGTCTTGACATTTGATTTATATATGAATCTTGTTTCTACAATGATTTGTGTAGTTTAATACTTCCAATTGATCATTTCATTCTATTTATATGTCTATGAATGCTAGAATAGATGTTCATGTGTTTATCTCTAGGTTTTGTGATATTGATGCATGTTTATGTGTGTTGATGCTATGAATCATGTGATGGTCAGGGCATGGTGCTTTAATGGAATTCTCTTGTGGTTTATTTGATGGTTCATATTTATTTCTTAATGGATTAGGCCTCTTCCTTAGTTTAATTAGTTTAATCTTCATGTCCCTAGCTCAGTTATAGTGTAATTGCCTTACTTTCTTAGATGGGAGGACAATCCATGTTTATTGTTTGATGTCCCATACTTATGAATGTAAGTAGTATATTTCTCTAATTTGATGATGTGTATTTATTATGGACTTAAAAGAAGGAATAATGGCTTAACTTGATATGTTGTGCTATTCACTAGTTTGGCTAGACAATGTATACTTATTTAGTCATCCATGCTTGTTAATTCAATTAATGACACACACTAGTATTGCAACATATAATCCCCCTCATCTATTACACATTGAGTTTCTGGGAAGGTGATGTTTGGTGGTGACCTCTAAGTCCCAAGATCCATCTCTTATATTCTCTACATTTTACTCTGCTTCAATTGTTTTACCTTGCATCCATTTAGTTGACATTGTAGTTAATTAACCAATCAAAACATCTTTGATCATTCGACCTACTAATCCAACATTGATTTCCAAGCTAAATACACTCCATTTCCCTTGGGACGATCCCTACTCACTCTAGCTATATTTATAGTTAGAAGTGGTAGTGGCATTCTATAAATTTAAACTTGGCCACACTACACTCCATTTTGTACTTCGTGCTAGGCGCGCACCATCTCCTACGGCTGCCTCAAAATCCAAACCCGAACTCACCCCAAAATCTCGAAAGTGCTCTGAAATGAAAACAAAATTGATCATTGGATGTTGTCCCCGTTATATCTCCCTTCTACGGTGTCGACAAAATTCGACTAGAAAGTGATGAATCCGGTTCTTGAAGCCAAGATCCAAAAATAGTAGAAAAAGAAAAGTAAAGAAGAAAGGGGATAGAGAAAATTATTTTTCTCTTCTAAACTATACATATATAATGCAACCACCCCAAAATAAAATATGATGTCCAACGTGTCCCAAATAAAATATATATATGTCCAATATATCCCAAAATAATAAATGCAAAGTGTTAGAAAACAATTCCCAAACACTTGACCTGGCCCAGTCCCACATGACACGAAATCTAAAATGTCGAAAAAAAATAGAAAAAAAAGAAACTGATCCTCACAAATTATACCAACATCTTTAGCGTGGAAACCATAGTTAGAAGAAATCCAACCAACCGAGATGAAAACCACGAAGAATTTAGTCATCTCGTATAAGTCGAAGCACAGTACATTAATAGACTCTGACTAAAGCTCACACCCACTCCACTCTATCAAGTACCAATTGTTGAACGTCTCTAACTTTACAACTCCCCCGTCCAACTTTCTAAAATTCAAGCTTAATCCTATAATGATTGTACAAAGGTTGGTGGTGGATCACGAGCAATCCTCGAATGTTATGACCCTTCCATAGTTTAATCAATTTCTTCTTTTCGAATCTAAATTTTTGTGACGGCTAAAAGAAAATTTTAATGCTATGATCAATCTCTGTAATTTGAAGTAGTCTCTGATGATTAGTGAAGAACATCACCCTAAATCACTCTTGTGTTTAAGTGTGTGCATTCAAAAATACACAATCATATTTTTTTGAAAATCTCTCTTAAAAAGCTTCGATAATCATGTAAAAGATAAATCCTTATTCTTCTCAATTAATTTAAGCATTTGATCTTAGTCAGAGTAAGAGATATGAGAGGTTTTTATATCCTAGAGAGTAATCAAAATAAATGGAAATATGTTATACACATCTGTAGGAGTTTTAGTACAAATAAGAAACTAAAATGTTGCCAAAAAAATGAAATCCCTCATATTTACGAAAGTTTAACTGGTTAGGTTGGAAGTTCAGCCAGTTGGACTTTTTCGAAGAGCATTTTGTGCGATCAGAAAGTTCAACCAATTAAGTTCAAAGTTCCGGTTGGATTTCTACTAAGTGTAGTATTTATCTTTGCATAAAGTTCAACCGATTGAACAAAAAACTTAACTGGTTAGACTTTTATAGAGTGCAAAAATAAAGATGTTTAAACATGAAAAACTTCAATACACTCGACACCAACTCAAAATACATATGTGTAATGTATTCTCATCCACATAACTCTTCTAAATGATATTTTCATCGAATTCAACCGTAAGGGGCACTTGTGCCTCAGCTTCGAAAGAATGAGACTTAAAATAAACAAAATTACAACTCGATTATTGACACTAAAATTTTCACAAACATATAAATTTATATCTAAATACTTTTTTGGACATTTAATTACTAGTTTCAACTTTTCTAGATGTTGCCCAATTAATGACCCTATAGGGGGGGTGAATAGAGTCTTAGCAAACAATGGACAATTTTCAATTTCAATTGATGTGCAATAACAAAGTAAATTTCTCAACAATAATTTAACAACGAAAGTTGAAGTCTAAGTTACACTTATCAGCAATTATTAAGAAATAAATTCAAAAGAACTTAAAGCAATAGATATAAGAGCTAAAGAGAGAGATTACAAACAAGTACTCGGCGATTTTAGCGAGGTTTGGAAACTCCTACTCCTCGGCTCAAGACCCCTCTTGAAACTTCCCAATCCACTATGGCACCTCTTTATGGGTGGAAAGCAAACCTTTTACAAGAAGCCCTTCTTTGTTTCTAAGTGCTAAGAAAAACACCTTCTCTTAGTCTTCCTTGGGCCACATCAGCCCTTACAAGAGTTGAATAAGATTGTTAAAGTACAAGATGATCTCTCTTAGATCTAAAGTACAAGATTTAGCTCACTCTAGAGTATGTATGAATAAATTGAAGCTCAATACTCTTTGAAGATATGAAGTATGTGTATGATGATAAAAAGGTTATAAGATTGCAAAGATATGTTTCTCAATGAATGCAATACCTTTTTATTAAGACCACAAAGTCATTATATAGACTTTCAAATGTATCTGATATGTATTCAAGCTGTTGGACACACACTTTGAGGAAAAATGGCCGTTCAAAATTAAAATTCTCGCTGGCTCGGTCGTCCGAAATAAAACACTCTTGAGGTTCGGTCGACCGAAACTATTTAAGGTTGGCCATTATACTTATTTCGATAGACCAAAGGATTCTTTCTTTTGTTTCGGTCGACCGAAACTCCTTCGTCCTTTGTTCTAAAACATTCTGTGAGAATCGGACGAGCCGATTCATTTAACTCCTTAGTTTCGGTCGTCTGAAACTTCTTAAGAAACTTTTCATTTTCTTAGTTCAGTAAACCAAACTCAGTTGGTCCTGTATTTCAGTAGACCGAAATACATTAGAAGCTATGATTCAGACTCATTGATAGAACCGGTCAACCGATTTAAATCATCCTTCCATTTTGGTCGACCGAAATGGAACTTAAATTCCAGGAGCATGTTTTGATGATATTTAAACCTGGTCCAATGATTCTTAACCTTAATGAATGAATTTCTATGCATGATTTTGAGAGTGTGAGCTTCAAGATGTTCATACATGCTTTAACAAGGTTTCCTAAAACGCTCACCATTCTAGCTAATCCCATTTGATGAGATGTCGATGACTTGTCTTTGAGTCTTGATTCCTTTGACTTTTTCTCATGCCTTCATGATGCTTCTTCATTTTTGCTTTTCTGTGTAATGTCTTAACTTGATGATAGCTTAGATCTGTAATTTTACTCAAGGTAGACATTAGTACGCATAGAACATCATTCATGAATTATGATCATCAAAAGCCTTAGATTCAAGGTCAACAATCTCCCCTTTTTTGATGATGACAATTCATTGATGTTGTTCGAAAAATAAGAGTATGGAATATAAACAATTCTCCCCCTATCAATGTGCATAGTTTTAAAGGTGAGAACATTCAAATAAGAGATTACAAATCTCCCCCTTTCCTTGTGCATCCATCTAAGCATTTTTAGCAAGATCATATTTAAGGCATGTATACATATTAAGCAAGATCAAGACAATGCATTAAAAAAGAATGCAATTCATAAATACCAAAAATGTATTTCATTTGATTAATGAATTCAAGGTGCAGTCAAAAGATTGCATGGTCAATAATCACATCTATTTCATTTCACTACTAACCCATTCAGAACTTCATAACTACATTGTTAACTACAACCATTACAATTAACAGCCTACAACCACTTACATCAACACTACATCA